TTAATGTTTAAGATTAATAAGATATTTGAGAAAATTCTACTATTATGATCATTTAAAATAAATGATTTTAATCCTAGTATTCTAATAATTATAGTAAATAGAAAATATTCTGAAAATGATTCTCTATTTATAGAATTTTTATATTTTAAATATAATATTCAAAAATTTACTAAATTGGTCTTTATATAAAATTAATAAATCTTAAATATTAATTACAAATTAAAAGAAAAAACATGAACCGGAAGACTTCCAAAAAGTCTTCCGGTAAACAAACTAAAAAAATATGTACCGGAAGACTTCCAAAAACTCTTCCGGTAAACATACTAAAAAAATGTGAACCGGAAGACTTCCAAAAAGTCTTCCGGTAAACAAATAAAAAAATATAAAAAGAAATTAAAAAATAATAAATTTTTATACGAGGATATTTTGGTCCAAAATTTTTTAATGTAGGGGTATAGGTATAAGTGTAGGGGTATGGGGTAAAACTTCCTTCAATCCAACTCAATTTATAAATTTGTGTTTCACAATTAAAGTAACATACAAAATTTTGCTTGTCACCACAACCTTATAAAATGTTTTTATAATATAGCTTACTAAGACTATAAAGTATCATGATTCTACTAAGATCCAATATTACTATGCTTCAAAATCAAGGGATAAGCAATATGACTTTAATTATTCAAATCCTTGTATCTATTAATTAAAGACTAAAAGTTTAAGGCCATGCATCTAACAAAAGAGACAGATCTAGACTTGGTGATTATGCTCCATACCTTTTATAATAAAGATTTATTCGCATAACCGGGTCTATCATTAAAAGTCTTATTTGATCAAATTCATTAGTTTCATTTAAGAGAGGGTAAACACTAAAGTGTTGCAATGTTAAATTAGCATCTATGGTCGTTATCTTTGAAGAAAAACATATTTGAGTCTGCGTTGATGTTGAATGCCTGCACCGATATCTGTAAAATATATTTATTTATTTATTTTTAAAATTATTATTGATACTATCGTGTCAGTGTTAATGTCATTTTTGAGATGTCTATACTTCACAGTTAGGCATGCTAATGTATCTTCTATATTGACAAATATCATGTAATTAACATCACATGACATTTCCAAAGAGAAGGTATATGTTTTTAAGGTCAAAGATGAAAGGTCTGGAGGCATGAGTGAGAGTAGTAGAAGTCAGAAACAAGGCTTCCTCATTTCATCTAAAGAAAATAATTCTACTTTCTGATGTGTCACCCGCCATCCAGATCAATTGGACGACTGTCTGCATAGTGCGTCATATCCTTCGTATGCAGTTTTAACCGTCCCAGGTATATAAAGTAGCGTACACGTCATTTTCAAGTATTCAAATTCATTTTTACTCTCACATCATTTTTCATTCTCTCACCGACATGAATGTTGAATTGCTAACCTCGCAGGTAAGCCATCTCTCCACCGCATTGGAAGCTCAAGTCCATCGTAACAAAGCACTACTTCATCGTTCATCAAACAACTATGGCTCCTGTTGTGAATCGGATACCTTTAAACAAAGTATAAATGGTTCCTTAGCAAGAAACACACAAGGGTTAGGATTAATAAAGAAGAAAACAACAAGGATTGGTTATTAAACTGTTATTCTTTCCTTTCTCTTAGAACAAGATTACAAGTATACAAGAATAACAAAATAACCTCTCTCTCTTGAAATTAGGATTTTATCTTCCTATTTTTCCTTATTCCAAGATTGAGAAACTAGCATCCTATTTATAATAAAATAGCACACTAACCTAATGGGTTTTTTAACAATTACCCATTACAAGCTAACTTAGGGTACAAGCTAACTTAAACAATTGGGCTTACAAGTAAGGCCCAATTCAACATGCTAACAACCCTAGCAATATTGACTAATGCATGTTAGAACAGACTTCGACTACAACATGCATTACTCGCGAACAGACTTCGACCATACTAGAGTTTGATCCAACATCTCACAAATCTCCACCTTGGATCTAACTCTATAACATCAAGAAACTAGCTTTCTTCATGCAGCTTTATTAACTGCATATAGTGGAAAAACTTGCAACTGGGCAACGTCTTTTCTTTTTCCGTTAACGCAACGTCCATGGCTGCCTCACCCTTCAACGCTTCCAAACAACCCTGCTGAACCAACAGGACTTTCATCTTCAAGCGCCACAGACCAAATTCGTTCACTCCGGTGAACTTTTCAATCTCATACTTTGTTGAAGGCATCTTCTCCACGCTCACCGCACCAATTTGTTGTGAATCGGATACCTTTAAATAAAGTATAAACATTTCCTTAGCAAGAAACACACGAGGGTTAGGATTAATAAAGAAGAAAACAACAAGGATTGGTTATTAAACTGCTATTCTTTCCTTTCTCTTAGAACAAGATTACAAGTATACAAGAATAACAAAATAACCTCTCTCTCTCTTGAAATTAGGATTTTATCTTCCTATTTTTCCTTATTCCAAGATTGAGAAACTAGCATCCTTTTTATAATAAAATAGCACACTAACCTAATGGGCTTTTTAACAATTACCCATTACAAGCTAACTTAAACAATTGGGCTTACAAGCAAGGCTCAATTCAACATGCTAACAACCCTAGCAATATTGATTAATGCATGTTAGAACAGACTTCGACTACAACATGCATTACTCGCGAACAGACTTCGACCATACTAGAGTTTGAACCAATATCTCACAGCTCCATTACAGAATAATGACACTGCTTGTGAGAATCAAAATTTGATTCCCGCATATACCTACATTTAGATCTCCTTCTATCGGGAGGTCCAGAACTTCGTTTCTTGATCTTCTTCCTTGAAGTTTTAATTTCCTCCTCCAGCAGATCCATCTTTAGATTCATCAATCATGGTGGCATCCAAAGCCATTCGATTTTTCATTCAATAGCAAGTTGTTGCTACAACTATTAAAACTCCACATGCTTCTCCTAAAACAGATAAAAATCCAGTTCTAATGGCATCTCCTCCAATTCTTCACCACAAGATCTTGCTCCACCGAGGTTCGATTAAGGAGCATTCTAATATATTCCTTTCTTTGGGTCTATGTAACAGTTCCACCAAGGTGAACCATCGCATCGACCTCCACTGCTACCTTTGATACCTAGACATGAAATGTTCTATGGCCTTTAATTATAGTTCAACCTTAGAATATAAGGAGCTACCGATCATCTGAATAGTGTTTATAATATGGTGCAGTTGTGGAATTCACAATTCTTGGCAGAGAGGCTCTACATGATTGAAGAGAGATTGTAGCACATTACATCAAGAAATAGTATTATACGAGAGGCGGCCTCACAAGGAAAACAAACTATTCTTCCTAAACTTACCTCAGTTAGGGAAGAAACATCGCGAGGACATACCCTGAGGTCTTCTGCTCACAGCCGTCACCGAAGACATAGGACTTGTTCCCCAGATCCTGAAGGAATGAGTGGTTGCCACATTCCCCTAAAAGTCCCTTGTCCTCAATAGAGAGAGAGGTATAACGAGGAAGCTTCGGCTCAAGAGCGAAAAAAGAACCCTATGTTTGCTTGCATTGTTGATAGTCGGATTCTGAGGTCATTAGAAAAGCCTATAGTGTTGCAGAGTTATGATTAGACCCGAGACCCAGATGAACATGTTAAGCACACAGATAGAAGGTTAGATAATTATCCCTTTAAGGAAGGTGGCCATCATAGAAAGGAAGAAGAACATTGGCCTCGATCAAGGTTCAATGCTTACACCCCATAACACTTAGAGGGAGAAATTTTAGAAGGAATGTGTAAGACTAATTTCAAAAAAGGGGGGATCATGAATATCACTTAATCAACAAATTTCCAAAGACACGCACATCCAAATGTTTTCATTTCCATAAGTTTCACAACCACAAAATGAGTGATTGCTTTCAGCTGAAGGATGCAATCAAGCACCGACTCGAATCTAGAAACCAACATCCTCTTCAGATATATCTCTTTGTCGGACAAGTCATCTTCCTTATAGAGGTATTGAGACTAAAGTGAGGGAAGTGAATGTGAGAAACATGCGCACTCCCGTTATCACCCAAAGCAGATAACTCTATCCCCTCTTGCATCACCCACTGTTCAAATCAATCGGACAGTTGTCTGCATAGCGCATTGCATCCCTCGTAGATAGTTTTAATCGTCCCTAATATATTATTAGAATGGTGCGCCATTATCAAGTATTCAAATTTATTCTCACTCTCACATTACTTATCGTTCTCTCGCTGACTTAGGTGTCAGAGTGTTAACCTTGCAAATCAAATTCGTCGTAGCAAAGCAATAATTCACCATTCATCAAACAACCTTAATTCTGCCGCAGAACAATGTACACTATTTTTTATAAACCCCTCCTTATATCTACTCAGTCAAATATTAGTTTGAATATCAAGAGTGTTTATGTGTGCAAAATGGTCAAACAAATAATGCCTTTCGATCCAAAACTTGATGATTTGTCGATTTTTTATTTTCCTTAAGGTGCCATAAGGTCTAGCTTGAAATAGTTCAAATGGAAAGTCTATGAACTTTACCTGTGAGGTTAACTAAGCACATGTACACCTTGAATTGTTGTTTGGATGCTTAGCCAGATTTAGAAACTAATCAAATCCAATACATCAATAATTGATTGCTATGAAGAAAACTCATGTCACCATAACAATGCACACAAACATAACTTGTGTTGACCTTGAAAAGTTTAGCCATATGGTTCTTATGTCTTTATAATTCACAATTCAACATATTCAACAACTTCTAATTAAATTGGAGTATGTTCCAAAACTGAGAAGTATGATAACACATCACAAAGAACCTAAATTTTTTTTTAAGTCCATACATACACACAAGACCATTATGCATTTCATCTATTTAATTCAATGTTCAAGAGCCACACAAATCTAAATGTTACTATGACTCTTCAATTTTTTATACCATGCCACACTCATATTAAAGCAAGATATACAAACTATGAGTATTATCATATAGAGTCATCATAAGGTGACTGAAATCCAATATTCTCCACAGCACCAACAGTCTTGAATTGTCTTCTTTTGTTCAACTCATCAACCAATGATCTGTGTAACAATTGGCTCCGTGTGTCGATCAGTGACCTGTTCCGTGTCAGTTTTCGATTTTCCATCATCATCTTGTTTTTACTAGGTGAAGCATTCTGTGATCCTCCTAAAATTTTACACTGGTTGCAATTGCTTAACTCTTCACCAGGTGAAAATCTTGTGCCCTTGTGACTCTTTATGATGGGAAGGTTATAATCTTTTCGGATCGAAGGTACATTGTGTTCATGATCATCCATAGAATAGTAGTTCCAGTTTGAATATGTCCCTTGTGAAGAGCATCTTGAACTGTTATCATCATGTAAATCATCTGCAATAAAAGTATTTCATGTTACCTAGAGACATTTTGTTTATCGGTAGAAATCGAGCTCGGTATCAAAACCTTCCTAAAAGGCAGGGCCGTTTTGAGAGCGTGCAAGGCAGGCTATGCGACAGGGCCCAAAATTTATCACTGTTAAACCGTGGTTAAATCAAGTCTCGTAAAAATTTGTCACGGTTAAACTCTCGTTAAATAGGGTCTCTATTTGTTTTGTTATAGCTAAACTGCAACTAATCTACACAGAATCTCCAAAAATTTGAGACGGACTTGTCTATAGGTCTATTAGAAAAAGAAGGGGAATGAAGAAAAAGACATACCGTGAAGCAAATAATAGCCGCGCGATATTTCATCAGCTTTACAGGCGAAATCCGGTATTGATTCTTGTAACGATGAACAAGAGGAGATTGAGCGGAAATGAAGACGATGTTCATCGATATCGTCATTTTGGTAACTGAATGTTTGGAAGGAATCTGAATTTTCATTTTTCCATCTAAATGGCAGAAGAGCAGATATCTCTCTATTGATCATATTCGCAATATCATAAGGATCCCAATCAGAAATCTCCAATTCTTTTACCATCTCCATTGCAACATCAATTGGTGTGTCAGTGTGAATATCAAATGGAAAATATACATTCCTAACAGAACCTGCATGAACAGAAAGCAGAAAATTATTATTAAAGACTAAAATTCATTCAGAAAATATAAGAAAGATACATACAATTCTTATCAGAAATTTGCACTTTGAGAAAGATGGTTTCGTCTTCGGGATTCAACTTTCCGATTACTTTCATTTCAGTCCTAGGAAATTCATCACTCAGTCGAAGTTTCTCCATCTCACTGTCATTCAAAAATGGTTTCTGAATTGCCAACTTCTTAGCCGACGACAAATCATCGGCCAAAAGAAAGGGCTCAAGCAACAGCTCTTTCGCAGATGGTCTCTTTGCTGCAGGTTCTAAACACTTTCCAATGAATTTCCGTGCTTCCGTGTCTTCAATGCAGAAAAACGACATTGGTAGCTTCCCCTAAAAACATAAAATGTTACTCAATAAATCATCAAACTTTACTTGTATTTCACGAAATCTATATCGAAACCAGAACTTACCGATGTCACTTTCTTGTAAATCTGCGCTGGATTAGTACATTCGCTATACGGATAATCAGAAGTGAGCATTTCCAACACACACATGCCAAATGAGTAAACATCAGCAAGTTCATTGTATTCTTCCTCGTACATTTCCGGTGCCATGAACTCCGGTGTACCTATCGCAAAATAAACGAGTTGAAGGCTCAGAGTTCAAAGTCTCACGAGAGAAAAAATACTAACATAACAACTAATATACGAAAAGTGAAAATTTTCGGCGAAAAGTAGTTACCTATAACACTATGAGCTGATTGAGAGCCTTGGAGAATTGCAGCTAGTCCAAGATCACCAATTTTCACTTGTCCAAGATGGCCATTCACAAATATGTTATCACATTTCAAGTCCCTATGGATAACAGGTGGATCATGTTCATGTAGAAAAACTAGACCATGTAAGATTTGGCGCGCCCAACTCTTTATCGCTTGTACGCTTACTCGCTTATACTTCTTACGGTATCTGCACATTTTCGAAAACTATCAATTACAAGACCGTCTTTGATGATGTGTAAGATAGTCTACCGTACAAGGCCTCAAATTTTCCACCGTAAAATTGTGGCTGAATATGGTATCATAATAGGTTTGTCAGAGTAAAACCTGACTATACAGAGCCTCCAAAAACTTAAAACGAAACCTCTGATCAATTATTTCAACAAAAAGCTAACAAAATTGAAAGTCTGATATATAAAAAGAAACTTACTCTCTAAGTGATCCTGATGTGAACATTTCTGTAATGAAATTGAAAGCCTTGTTATCGATATCAATCCAAGACGTATAGAATCGCATAATCGACCGATGCTTGAGCGTGCTGAGGAGATGAACCTCCGAGTAAAGCCGCTGCAAATCTTCCGGCGTATTAAGTACCTCATTGAGCCTCACTTGGTTCCATGCTACCTCTATTCCAAGCACCTCATCAATTGCTTTGTACACTGTCTTCATTGCCCCTTTTCCAAGCACATCTCCAAACTAATCAATCACAAAGATCACACATTCAGTATCACAACACCTGTACCAACTGAAATCGCAACCAACTCGACCATTATTTAAAACCTTGGTCCCTTCTAAAACAACATACTTATGAAACATAAATAACAACCTCAAACATCAATGATATAGCACACGACACAAAAAAAACAAACAGAAAAAACATAGAAAAAAACATAGTAGGTTTAGAACTTACCCTGCCATAACGACCAGTTGGATCAGTTTCCACATAACATTTCTCTTCCTTAAAATCCTCCATGTTGTCTCTCTTACAAAACATGTCTGGTTCTTATCTAAAATTTTCACCAACTCATCAAACACCTTCTATATTCTTAGCTAATTCTAAAAAAAACAGAAACATTTATATCAAAATATTGAACATGGTTGGTTAAAGAGATTATTAGAATAGTCAATAGTTTTGATTCTTTTACACATGTTAATAAAAACCAACCAAGTTAAGTGCTTACAATCGGTTTGAACCATTTGAAGTTTTTTTTTTTTTGGTTTGTTTTACTAATTTTCTTGTTCTATTTGGAAACGAAAGGTTCATATGAAAGGGTTGCATTACACTAGCACAGAGTTTGACATGACAGGGGAATATAAACATATTGGTAGATACTATTTGACTTTGAAATTAATGAGTTTCCTTTAATACCCTTTATTTGGTATAGTATAAGGGTAAAGGGTAAGGTTAGTTTGGTAATTTAGAAAGAATGAATAATGAGAAAAAACAATAATGCACGGAACTTGAAAGAATCTGTGGACATGCTTTGGTGGGTGTAGTTGTAATAGTAATCATTTGGGTGTTGAATAGAGAAAATCTAAATAAAAATAAAAATAAACACAAGAAGAACGTGGCAAGGAAAGTAGAGAATAAGAAAATTTAGAATATTTTAGTAGTATTAAAAAGATAATTATTTTACTATATATTTTTTAATTATATTTAAATGTAATTTTTTACAATTTTGAAAATCTAAATCTGATTAGACTACTATCACTAGTTAAATATTGGACATGCATGTAGGATGTAGCTATAAAATTAATGGAGTAGAAAAGTGATTGTATGAGAAGATGAGTGGTGGAACCCATTGTGACTTCATATTTGGGAGTAAACATTGGTAAGAAAGAGTTTGTGGCTGTGGCATTCATGTTATGTTGCATAAAATCCAAAATATATGCATATTCATAAGAGAAAGAAAGCATGAATTTATTAACTTGTAATGTTTTGGTGACATTGAAATGGGACATGGACACCATATTTTATAAGGTTTCTGTTTTAATAATAGTTTTTTTTTTCAGTATCTAAATTGCATTGAATATAAATATTTTTTCTTTCAATATCTAAATTGCGTTGAATATATTCTTTTTTAAACATGATATATAGTATTAATTTCTCATGTTGAATATCAATATTCTTACTAAATACTTATATGGTGTTGAACATATAACTTAAGAGAGAGAAGTGAATTGTGGAGATTTAAAAGAGGTTAATTTAAAATAAAATTATTTATAAATGTTGACTTTTGAAAATATTTTAAAATAAATGATTGAATAAATAGTAAAAAAGATGGTAAAATAAAAAGATATGAGGTAGAGAGATATACTAGAGTTTTATACAGATTCTACCTATATATATCTACTCATGTCTTTAAGAATTATTCTTGAGTATCCTATAAACTTAAGAGTTTTAATAAAGATATTATCGACGAACCTCCTTATGCAAGGAAATAAAGTTTTTGGACTAACTTCAAACCAAACAACGAACAATGCTCTAAATGGTTATCCTCTGAACTAAATTGAGATTTTTCACGGGCTAATCTCGATCCAAGATGGAGTTTTGAGTTGACTATTCTCCAAATCGAAATGGGATTTGAAAAGGATGACCACGAACTGAGTTGAGATTTTATACTGACTAATCTCGAACCGACTGAACTTTTACAATGTCGAACTTAAGAACCAAGTAAAATTTTAATTGGGTTGATCTTGAACTAATAGAGATTTTAATTGAGATGAATTAAGGAATTGTTGTAGAGATTTAAATGGATGACCTTCACGAACAAGAAAATAGATTTTTTTTCTTCATGAACCAACTGAGACTTCCAAAGAGTATCCCTAAACCAAACAAGAGTTTTTAACTATTTAACTTGCAACCAAACAATGACTTCCTACGTAAGAAATATTTACAAAATAAGCTCTCACCTAGAACAAAGATCCTCGTTTAGACTCAAGAATACTCTCGAAATACTATGGCTAAATATAAGTGAGAAAAGCGAGTGATTTAGTAAAATGTATTAGAGAAATAAAAGTGAGATTAAAGCTCTTTTTTTATGTGAAAAAGTGATTGAAAAGCTTTGTATTTATAGGTCAATGTATGGTGTAAACTTAGAAACAATCCATGAGGTAAATCAATATCTTAATCGATTAGGCTAATCTATTATTTAGCTTCAATAATCGATTTTCATGTCACAAATGGAAGGTTTTTATATTTAGCCATTATCAATCATAAGGAGATTGTCCCAATCAATTTTAGACTTAACTTAGCCAATAAAATTGATTAGGTCATTATGTCTAATTGATTTGTCAGTTAGGAAAGTCTTCCAATCAATCAGACACTCCTTAATCAACTAACTAGGCCCTAAAAAAACTTTAGGTGATTTAAATAAAATATGAGTGGTTTCTAGAATGTTTTTAGTTTGTAAATTTTAGCCATAGTATTTTCAAAAATACCCTTGTGTTTTTACAAGCCATTGGACACTCAAACGAATACGACCAAGCGAGCTTTCACGATTCCTCTATTTCAAAACTTTGAAGTTTCAAGTCCTGACATTATTATCTTTGACTTTAGCATCATACAATAGTCTTGAATATTCTAATGAGACTTGAGATATCTTCATGTTGATTACCATCATCTGAGAGTTGAGAGGTTAAACCACTAGTAACCCTTGAAAAGAATTCTTCACTTGAGTATCGTTTGACTACAACTTTTTATTCAAATAGATGTTTTAATTTTCAAAAGTATAGATTGATTTAGGAGGATAGCTTAATCAACCATCTTGACTATCTTTGACCGCTTGAGGTATCTTTGGCAGATGCTTGACTTCACTCAACATCATTTGATATTAAGTGTTATCATAATCAAAACTAAACCGCTACTCGGTTGTCTTGCAGCTTTGCTATCCATAAACTCCACCACCTTGGACCATCTTGACAATACCTGAAAGCATATAGATCCACAGTCTCTCAATTTTTATGATGACAGTGCATCTCTCAGGGAGATGGTAAAAGAGAAAACATACCGATAAACTTTGGAGTGGTTAAACCCATTCTCACATGAGTAGAGAGTAGTACACTTCTCCCCCTTTGGCATAATCAGAAAGGCAAAAAATAATACTAAAGAGTATGCAAGAACATAACTCACATAGATCAAACATGTTGCATTAATGAAGGGAAAAACAATGCTTTATTAAAAGATAATTTAAAATACAGAAAGTGGGAAAATGAAAATTTTTAAAAATAATAATAAAAATAAAAATAAAAATAAAAATAATAATAATAATAATAATAATAATGATAATAATAATAATAATGATAATAATGATAATGATAATAATGATAATAATGATAATGATAATAATGATAATGATGATAATGATAATGATAATAATGATAATGATAATGATAATAATGATAATAATAATAATAATAATAATAATAATAATAATAATAATAATAATAATAATAATAATAATAATAGTAGCAGCTAACACTTAAACATATAAGAGAGACTAATCTCTAGTATTCTCATCATCATTACTGAACAACCCTCGAGGTAGATTCCCTAAGTCTTAGGCAAAGTGATGGGCCAAAAAGTTGATCTTCATATTAGTCTGGTTTAGTCTCTTGATGATGTCCATGAGTAGATTCTCAATTGAGGGTGTTTAAGAGATTATTGTTGTTCCATAACACTTTTCTTTCCCTTGGGAGGTTTTTGAAATATCTCACTATCGAAAATTTTGTACCACATTAGTCCTAATGTTGCTTCTCTTATTTTTGTTAAATTTTACATTGATACTTCTCCTTCAAAGTTGTACCTAACATGTTCCAGAATCTTCATGACCAAGTTACCATACGACAGAGATATTCCTTTCCTTTTAATTTTCAACATGTGTTGGATCACCACACTTTTCTAATTTGTCTCAACTTTGTTGGCAGGTAACCACATTGTGGCAACATCATACCTAGTCAAGCGACTCAAGTTTCTCTTCCTTGGAAAGAGTATATGATTTTTCATATAATGAATTAGACGAATTTTTAGATACACGAATCCTACAGTGAATGGAGAAGACACACGAGAATTTGGATCCAACAGAAAAGAGGAGGCAACACTCTTATACATTTAGTTTTCACTTTCTTCTTGTTCATCTGGCTTGAAGTGAGGTCCACCATAGAGTAGATCCAAAATATCAGTAAATTCTTTGAAAGGCATAGATATCTTGTGCTTTCTCACTTCGAAGTAGATAATCCCATCGGTGAAGTAGATATTAGAATAGAACATCTTGAGTTCTTGACTATGGATAGATATATTTTTCTTGGAGAGTTGCAGATTAATACCTTTAAGTTAATTCTTCGAAAGTCTTGAAGAATTCACATTATTGAAATATTTTAGCATCCAAGGTAAGAACCCTTAACACCATCCTATTTGTGTATATTTGAAAGAATCCTCCTTCTTGTTCTTGAGATGAGAAGTCAATAGAGAGATGGACGAGAGATGGAAATCTTAATCATTTAGGTAACATGATGATTATTGTGGAGTACTAAAATAGTATTCTCAAAGAACACAGAGAAAACACAAGAAAAAAGAAGATATTATTCAAAAGAAAGGAAAATGAGTACCTATTTATATCGTTGCTTTTGAACGTTTAGGAGTGTAAAAACTCCACAAAATCCTTGAAGATTTGGAGAAAATATTGGAAGCAGAACTTTTTAAAACATGCTTGATAACCGATTATTTAAGGGGCCTAATTGATTATTTGTTGTTAATTTTAAAGATTTTGTGTGTTCTTCATTAATGCTCTGATTTGATTTGCTTGGGGACAAAGATACAATCTGAACTTGCTTGAAATTTGAAACACATAGAGCATCTAATGGATTAGGATAATTTATTATTTGCCTTGATTAAAACCTTCTTCTTCTTTTGGACCTTGCATCGAGATTTAGGTTTGGTAAACTGCTTTTGACACCCATTTTTCATTCAGATTGCACCCTTTTCTTAAAAAATGC